TGTATCTGTTGGAGGTCAGTTATCACCAGTCACGTGTCAACATTATAGATAATGTTCAATCACACCTTTTGGCTAGGTGCAAGTGTCCTTAGCTCGACATACTCTAGCCGAGCTGATGTATGTACTGTCTATCGATCGACCTTCAACAGGTACGAGCCGACCTATAAGAATACTTGCAGGCATGAAGACAACGAGGATGTTTTCTGACAACACACCGCATTTCTTGGGATGTCGAAGAGCAATTAGAGTGCTGTAGAAAATATTGTCGGGAGTTCATCTCTATAAATAGAGACTCCTATCTCCCACACGAAACAATTATCTCTATAAGTAATAGATCAGATTAAGTACTGATTTGCTCCTAAATACATCGACAAAAAGTTGGTAGAAACTTCTGGAAGTATTTGCAGACAAGTCAATTCCTTCTCCAATTAAAAAAATTACCCTGTCACGATAAAATCAGACAAGGTGAAACTCACGAGGTAAACTAAAGAATTTCCGTCGGATCTTCTTTATCTATTTGTTTATGTTCTTGGGGGGAGGAGCTGTTGCAGCCACTCACTTTCATGCCCATATTTGACTTGGGAGCTTCGAATTTAAGTGTTTTTATTAATGTATGGAGGTGAAGTTGAAGTTGATGACTATTCCACGTGCCAAAGAGTCAACATTTTGCAGCTCATGCAATTCCCTTGCGTGAAGACAATTGCAAATGGCAATCCCCAAATTTATTATATACCTCTGGATCCCGAACTGCTCCAAATTCCAATCTTGAGAGAAAAAAGGAAAAAGAAATCTCTTCTTTTTCCCCAATATTACTTATAAATACACAATACCCTGATCGAAAACCTCCATAAAAAGCAGACCCACAACCCTTTCTCCTTCCCCTCAAAAACTTTCGATTCTGTGGAGTTTTTTGGGTATGGAAGATTTCAGATCCAAATCCTGCAGGGAGGGGAGAATGCAGATTGAAAGCTACTGCGAGAACAAGGCTGCCCCATCAAGTATGCAAGATCTGAGATCCTATAGTGTGAGTTATGCAAGTTCTGTGCAGCAAAATCAGCCAAATAAAGAGGTGAAGATGAAGAAAGTGAAGAGCAGTATTGGGTCAACTTCAAAAAGCTGGAGTTTTAAGGACCCAGAATTGCAGAGGAAGACGAGGGTCGCTGGATATAAGGTATATGCAGTGGAAGGGAAGATGAAAGGGTCTCTGAGAAAGAGTTTCAGGTGGATCAAGAACACATATACTCAAGCAGTCTATGGATGGAGGTGATATATATATACACAGAGAGAATTTGTTGTGTAAGTTCTTTTTTTTTTGGATCTTGAACTTTCCTGGATATGTAACTATGAATCTTCAGCCGATATTCTAAATCGGCAGTTGTGAGTTTGTGGGTTAGACTTCTTGTTGTTCCTGAAGTTCGTAAGGAAAATGAAGTTTGAGTTCTGGTTTTGAATATGCTTTTTTTTCCCCCTCAGATTCCATTGATTCTGTGTAATTGTAACCATGTATCAGTGGGTCTCGATTGTTACTGTTTTTTGATGTTTATAAGTCCAAATTGGGAAGAATGAGTTGAAAGGGATCTCTGGAAAGACAGTCTCTGTTCAAAATTTTAGGCCAATAGGGGACGAGGAAAACTGGGTTCTGCTTGAAATTCTGCTATTCCTCCTCAAACCAATTGATGATCAATGTTTCCCGATAATTTCTTTTTAGAGAGAGAGAGAGAGAGAGAGATGACAAAGGGATTGCTTTATCTCTCCTTCCGACGCCATGGATGACCTAAAAAGGCAGAGGAGTGGGAAAGTGAAAACATGGTATGAATGAGTCAGCTCAGAGAATTTCACATGGCAATAATTGTTCTCTTGTTAATTTCTCTCCCAGCTTCGCCAACAACCAATCAAACCAGAGACAATTTCAGCTACAGATGATGAGAGGGAGAGATCTGGCTGAAATTGTTGAATTTTCACATAGTAAAATACACAAAATGGCCATATCAGAATAGAACAGATCAAAATTTGACAGAATTTGCACATGCAAACATCAGAAATGATTGATATAAAGCATATAGAACTTCAGATGAAAAGTAATTAAGGGTGGTGAAACAGAGTTTGAACAACTGACACAGTCAATTTTTGAATCTCTGAACATTAATAAGGGGGATATACAAACAAAGCATGGGAAAGAATGGGGAACAGCAAGCTTTTTCGGTATCAGCACTATTCTACAAGCTCTTAACACTTCAAATTCTTTTTTAAGTTATATGGTACATACATCATAAAGCTCCGGGTGCATTCTTTTTTTTGTTTTTCTGTCTTCTGTTTTTTTGTTTTTTTTTGCTATAACGAATGGGGATCCCAATAACCCATTTCACTTGCCTGCCATTAGGGGAGGGGAAAAAATTTTTAAAAGAAAAGAAAAAAGATTGAAATGGTCGGAAACTCTAGGGAAAAAATCCAAAAATTTTGAAGAAGTAGATGGGATGATGTGTTTCTTCATGATGTAGCAGCAGCAGCATTTATCATGGAGTGCTTCTTTTGCAGCCTTCCTTTCAACTGCCTGATGGATGCTTCTACTCTGGCTGTGAATCCTATCTTGGTCTTTTGCCTTGCCTTTGATCTCTCCCTGGTCCACATGTGTTTGTCTTCCACATCCTTTCTGTAGTATTTGATTTCTTGGATAATATGATGATCCAGAGGATTAAAGCTTCTCTGGAAGGAGATGTGGGCAAGATATGGGAGATTGCATGTGATTGTGACTAGTATGGTGGCTATCCAGTAAATAGGGGCAGGGCTGAGTGCTTCAAGAAAGATTTGATATGCATTTCCAGAGGATATTATCATTCCATAAAGTACGATGAAGATATACCACATGGAGATGCTGCCCCAGACAAGAACGTGTTGGATCCAGGTGAAGTGGCTCATTGTGAGGGCAATCTGGCAATTGACTGCCCATATGATGCAAGTGAACATGGTGGTGCCTACAGCGGTCATATCGGCGGTCTGGCCTTCCGAGCGGAATGCCTGGTCGTAGAAGATGAGGAGATTGAGGAAGAAGGTAACCAGAGAGGAATAGAGAGCGTTCCCCATCCATCCGAAAATTCGAGGCCAGTCGAAGAACAAGTTTCGGGGTCCTTGCTGGTACAGCGCAGGGAACTGCAAAATGGATGATGGTTCAATGTCAGTAATCTCATAGCATGTGCACACAACATTTGGAACACAAATCAGTCGGTTTGGTGATTTTCATATTAAAACATGTTTGTCTCTTTACCTGTAGGCAAACCTCAGAAGGGACATCTTGTTCAAACACTCCAAGAGAAATTACAGGCAATGAGGTGAGTATGACGTTAAATGATAGCATATAGAAATCATCGTAAATTGATTGCCCGGAAAAGCCCGTGAATGCTTCGAAGTAGAACAGTGTTAATCCAAATGCAATGTTCTTGTAGAAGAAATAGCAAATCTGAAAACGGAAATTACCATGTTATATCAAGGTTAAAATTAAAATATACTACTTGACAATTCCCTAAGCACAATTTTCATAACTGGTTGGTTGACCCTTGGTTTCTTGGAATCAAAACTTGATTTAAACATAAAAAAGAACAAAGAAATAGAAGTAAACTTCACCATTTGTGCTATCCTCTTGTAGCACCAATGACCATGGACTACCAGAAGCCTTTCCAGAAACCGAAATTGAGCAATAGAGAAGTCACTAGCCATCACAGCCTGAGCAAATTAGGAGTTAAAAGAGATGGATCGAGATGTTTATTTAGTAGACAAAGTTCAGAAAGGAGAGCCTTTTGTGCTTACCTGCATACCTTCAACCCCACTGATACCGACGCCAATATCAGCCTCTTGAATCATTCCGACATCGTTTGCACCATCACCAATTGCTAAAGTGGCTTTCCCTGTACCTTCTTTCACTAACCTTGTTACCTGCAGAAACGCCCCAAAAGAAGTCGAATCAAAATTAATAGTTCATGACTAAGTTCTGCATTCAGTGGACAGCTCAAGTACAATATATGAGCAGTATGGTGCACGAGTTGAGTGACCATTAAATGAGAAGGGAAGTCCTACCAGTGCCTTCTGCTTGGGGGAGACACGACAGCAAATGACGGATGCACAATCGACTGCGAGTCCAAGGAACTGATACTTCATATCATCCTCGAGAGCATAGGTTAGAGTCTTCCCATCAATGATTAAAGCAAATGCAGCATGTGGATCCTTCTCGAGCTTGATCATTTGGGTGGCGTTGGTGATTTGATTCAAAATATTCTCTCTCACGGCCTGGGGTGTGATCAAAGACAAAAAATCCTAATTCGTATGAAATCAATTTCCGTAGCTAATTTCCTGTGCTCTCTCTCAAAGTATCATATACCTCTTTGCTATCCTGGGCTAAGGCATCTGCGTTTGTTGATATGCAGATCTGCTTCATCCCCTGTCGTAGTAAACTACATGCAAATCTGCAGACAGAAACAATGATTGTCTTTTGCTTAACATATGAATATGAAACATATACTGTAAGAAATGTCTTCAATCAATTAGCACGACAGACCCTATGTTGATGGCAGTTTCCATCTTATCCCCTGTCAAAACCCAGATCTTAAGACCAGCTTGTGCAAGTTTGTCTATGCATTGGGGTACCTAGAACAAAAACATAATACTAGGTTAAAGAAAAGAAACCAGAACAGTAATAATAATGCATCACAACATACAAGTTTAGTAATAGTTATAGATAAATAGATATTCTTTTCACACCCCATTCTGTAACTTGTCCTCCACAGCGGTAGCACCAACAAGGGTTAATTCTCGCTCCATGAGGTCGGATACTCGCTCGAGCATTGCATCTCTATCTCCTCCGATGGATGTCTTAGCCTTCTGAAACTCATTGTTCCAAGCAGTATATTCGGACTCCTCAAGCTTCCTATAAGCAAGTGCCAGAGTACGCAGCCCAGCTTCTCCATATTCATTCAAATGCTTTGTGGTTGCTTCCTCATATGTTCTTCCGTTCTTTGCCAGTCGATCAAAGATGATGCTGCAAAAGATTGAAGTAGAGGAATTAAGAACGAAGGAATTTGTTTCTTATCAAAAAACAAACAAAAATGCCATTTGTTGGCTAGCTTCCTTGAACTTTTCCTCACACACTAACTTAAAAGAAGCAGCCAATATCTCTAATAAAATCCTCACAAAAGATCTGTACGAGCCAACTACTGATGAGACTCACCTATCAGCACCTTTGCAGAGAAGAAGAATCTGGCCACTCTCGTCCCTAATAATCACAGACATTCTCTTTCTCTTGCTTGTGAAATCCAAAAGATTCAAAATTTTGTATTCCCTGTACAAATTCCCAGGAGACGTCAGCAATGCATGATGCCAAGAATTCATGGAAAAATGGGCTGGAGATTAGATTTAATCATATGATAAAACCATATTACCTTTCAACTATTTGGGTAGGTGAAGGATATTTCTCGCGGACAACTAAGCTTGATTGTGTTCTCTTACAAAATTCAAAACCAAATTCTCTGGCTGCAACAAGGAAAGCACCTTCATCGGGGGACTCTGCTTCATACGTATAAACACCAGTCTCTTCATTCAGTTCAGGAATTGCAGTGTGACAAATTCCTAAAATTCGGAAGAATAATAGAATATCATCACGATGCGGCTCATTCAACCAGTTCCCACCCGTTAGGCGGCTGTCCTCAAAACTAAAATACTTAATGGCAGGCTTCTGATCCTTGGAATCGCTTGAAGTAACAACAGTCTCCAGTTCGATCTCAGACTCTCTTCTGCTATTTGGCATGGAAGGCTGTCCACCTTTTTGTGAGGGAGTATCGAAATCTTCTCCATCCTGCTCCTCGAGGTCATGTGCCATCTGCCTTGCTGCTGCAAGTTCAACCTCACTAGCTTTAACACCATATGCAGTGCCAGCAATGGAACATTTCAGAAAGTCCATCTGATTGCAAGTCAAAGTGCCAGTTTTGTCAGAGAGGATTGTGTCTACCTGGCCCAACTCCTCATTCAAATTTGAAGTTCGAGCTCGAGCGGTATTTGCAGTCTCTTCATCATACATGTTAATATCTTGGTTAATGAAGGAAGCTTGCAAAACCTTAACAACCTCGATGGAAACATAGAGCGAGATGGGTATCAAGTATCCATACAGAATAAGAGCAGTGATTAAATGTAGGAGCCCTGATAAGGCTGCCTTACGAGGATTGTACAATGGATCATCACCAGTAGTTTGTAAATACCACCAGTCTGTCATTTCGTACTTTGTCTTCACAGCAAAACCTATTGAGCTGATTAGTGAGATCAGTACAAGGAGAGTAAAAAGGATGTAAATAATTTTGTCCATTTGTCTCTCTATTCTACTTCTTTTTGAAGGAGATTTAGTAGCATTCTGCATCACTTTGCTATCATGTCCAGTAAATACCACCACCCCATAGGCATAAGCTGTATTCCTCAATTTTGAATCTCTGAGGAGGATCTGACTAGGATCAAGAGGATAAATCTGCCGGTCGTACTCAAAATTGCCTACGAAGGTGTAAAGATTAGGGTTCGGATCCTCACAGTAAATTTTTCCAGTAAAATCTTTGAAAGTTGCATCATCATCCAATGGTAAGGTTACTTCCAAAGATCTTTTTACTTTGAGATTAGTCTCACCATCCAAATTCATTGTTTCGACATAACATATACCGTCCTCATAGCACGATGACAGGAGAAACAAATCAGCTGGAAAAAACTGATCTTTCTCTACTTTAACTATATCTCCAACTCGAATCTGGTGCCAAGGTCTGTAGCCAAATACACCGTCCCCTTTATGGACACTAACTTTCCTGAGATTAACCTTCATGTCCTGCACAAATCGACGCCAGTCCTCAAGAGCTTCTTTAAGCATACTGAGCCCGACAACAAATACCAAAGGAGCAATCATGCTCATCGCAGAAAATGGGGCAACTGGTGTGAGCGATAACAATGCAGCCATAAGAAAGTACACATTGGCAACCCGCCGGAACTGCTCAAATAGAGCCTTAGGCAAGAAAGTAAGAACATTATACTTGGTCGTGGATATGTAATTCGCGCAGTATTTCAATGGCTTCCTGTCATGGAGATGAGGTTGGTTGCAACACACAGTTCGTGAGAAGCCGGGTCCTGTTAAAGGATTCGAATCGTCAGCCTGACGCACACTTTTTACTGCCCGGAGGCATGAGAATGTGTAGAGATGGCTTCTACGAATCCTGTCTCTTATTCTTCCCCGTTTAATTGACTCAATTTTCATCTTCATTTTATACGCAAACCAATCGCACCACCAAATTTTCCACCGCTCCTTACTGCGACGATAACTTCAACTTTCAACCTAATCACAAAAAACATGTATGAATTAACAAACACATCATCTCTTTCTACCACAGCGCAAATCCACCACCAACAAGCGAATACCTAGACGGCCACATTCTAACAAACACTTGAACTGCCGCCAATTTCACCCCACAACTATCAATGTAAATCACGAAAAGAAAAAGAAGTAAAAACAAAATCAACCCCCCTAAAAGAAACGTCGCGAATTTCAGCTAATGCCCTCGAAGCAATCAAAATTTTTCTTTTTGTTCCAACTAAAATTGCACCCACCAAAGACAAATCCTAACCCGAAGCTGAAACAACGAAGAACCCACCTCGAATCGCAATCGCCATTGCGCAAGATTACGAGAAAGAGGGGGAAAAGGGGGTATTATGAAAGAAAATCGATAATGTGGAGGTGAAACATTGATGCAATAATCATGATCCGGAGAAGCAAGAAAAGGGAGAATGGTACCTGAAATCAAAAGCCACAACCAGAACCATCCATAAGCGGTGGAGAAAGGGGGAATGAAGGAGGGGGAGTCGTTGTTGTAGATCAAGAAACAAACAAACCCAAGTGCAGGAAGAGAGAGAAAGTTTGATTTTAGAGAGAGGAAATCTAGAGAAAGACAGAGAAACAGAGAAAAACAGGGTTTTAGGCCAAAAGCTCTCTCTCTCCTCCCCCCTCTCTCTCCTTCTCTCTCTCTCTCTCTATGTCTCTCTCCACCCCCAAAGTCTGAACCAATGACACGAAATTCCGGGCCCTCCCTTCCCTATATTTATATATATTTTTCTTTTTTTTTTTCTTTTCCTTCTTTTTTAACAATTAGCGATTTTCTCTAATTATATGAAATTTAGTAATTCTTTTTTGGTAGAGGGCTTTGTTAAAATGACCTGTTCGTCTTCAGTTCTCCAAACTGGAACGAAGCAAGAATCAGTCTCTTCCCTTCCCCCCGCCATTCCGGGCCCACTCCTCCCACGTGGCACTTTTCTGACACTGAAAATGTCAAACTTCATTTTTTTATTTTTAATTATATATGTGGAAGAAGTGGGGGCCACCTAATCTGAGCACATGGCAGTTAAACCAAACCCTTAAATTTAGAATGACTCAATTCTTGGGTTATTCCCATGGTTTTTTTTTTTTGGTCATTTTGTTTCAAAAGAAATAATTAAAATGTTTAGTCAATCAATGTGCAATCTTTCTTTCCTTTTTTTTTCCCTATGAAATTAGCTATTGGTCCAGGATTCAGACCATGATTCGAAATCTATATTTGATCTTAATTGTTCCGATATTCTTCTGCAATTTGACTACGTTACTGCTTATTACGAGAGATAAGAGGTACAACTGATATCATATCCGAATGAGAAGGATCTCGAGACATAGTTAAGAAAAATGCTTAAAAGAATTGATAGTTACTTTGACTTGAAGCAATCTTCGATTAGATAACCTAATTCTAAATTAGGAGTATTATTGAAATGATAGAAATATTTTTTAAATATCGATAGGAGATTTTTTCTTTTTAAATGAAAGGAAATGGTAAATTGGCTGAGCATTTATTTCCACATGTAAGAACATAATAGGTCCCTTTCATTTTGATCATGTTAAATATTTAGGAGTTTGCTTTTTGAAAAATCCAACGTCATTAATCCAATAGTCCAAAATTTCTCAAAATTCATATTAGGTTGGCTTTCTTTTCAATTGTTTTCTTAGGGCACGTGTCTTTTAGTCTTTCTTTTCTCTTTTTAATTTTCCTTTGCCGTTATCTTATTGATTTAATTTATTTAATAATATTAGTTAAGTGATAAATTGTAGAGAAGATAGAAAATAAAAAGAATAACAAAATATAATTTCATTGGATTATGATATTTCTAGAGAGAATAGAAAATAGAGAATAACAAAATGTGGTTTCGTTGGATTGAATTTCTAGCCAAAACCTACCAACCTATTATAAATAGGTTAATTCATAATGATAATGAATATACAAACTAAATCAAATAATATAATTTTTAATAATAAATCTAATTCAAATAATACCTACGAATCAAACTCAAATTATAATTAAAAACTCAATACTAATATAATTCCAATCGTATCAAATCATATCATTAAGTTAGGAGTGACAACCCATGAAAGTTGGTTAGAATATACTCTAGTTGTTGCACATTTTTATGTTTAATTATACATTCTTCATTTCAATTAGTATTTTATATAGGTTCATGAGTTTGACATCGATATTTCTATAATATTGTAGAAAAAAATCTGACAAAACATAAAAGATGTCAACAACTTCTTAAAAAAGAGTACAACTTTTATTGGTTTTATTTTAAATCTTTACTACGAATTTTTATTTTTATAAAATTTCAAAAAATATTAATCAAATATTAACATTTCATCGACACTGACATTTATCGTCGAGTAGGTCCAACAAGGACCATATAATAAACCGTTAAATAATATATATATACAATAACGAGGAAATGTATGATAGAAACAAGGTTTTATTGATCCCAAATCCTTTCCAAAGTTTGTTTGATTAAATTGCATAAGATAAATGGAAAGGAAAAATAGTCATTTTCTGGAGCCTTTGAAAATTTATCTTAATACAGTTGAAGGGGACACGACATGGAGCCATTTCAACATCAAAATTGATGATGTCTTGCTTTGCTTCAACCTTACTTGTCCAATTATATGATAATTCCATTCAAAATCTGAGGACTTTTTTTGTTTGGTGCAAATTTTTTAGGCCACAGCATCTAGATCCCTATATTTATTTTGTAAATCTTATACAATACATCGCTTGCCGACCGAATTGGAATGCAATTTTGACGACTTGTTCGACCAGTATGTTGTTTTTAATTAAGTTAAATCGCTATTCATTGTCGATGTTGAAATCAACATGAATTTAAAAGTATCATTTTCTTTACGTTAAATACCAACCTCAACCACTAAAACGTAGTTCAACTTGTGTTTGATTTCCACTCCTACACGTTATTTAATTCGCATTAAAAAAGTGTAATGTATAATATATTTATTTACTTATTTATTAAAAAATTACATAGATTCCTTGCTTATTTCCAAAGTATAGATACCTTGGCCTTTGATCATGCGCAAGATATTCTCTCCACTCTTCCTCCCATTTTCGCATAGACTTTCGCAATGGGATTGTGCAAATTAATAATAATTTAAGCATATATACAAATTTAGTTATTAAGTTAATATTTAATTAAAAAAATTGTTCAATATGAATTAAATCGATATGTGAAATAGAGCATTAAAGTTGCATTAGTTAAGTTAGATTCATGGGTGAAATATTCATTTAATAAAGTTGAGACATGAAGAGTTACCATAATAATCATTTCAAATTATTATTTCAAGGTCAATTGGATTCCCTAACAAAGTAGTATTCAACGTCAAAAGATGCTAGGTCATAGAAATATTAATTTTTTAAGTTTATACTTTCAGCTTTGGTTCATTTTGATCCACGTATTCTTAAAATGTCCATTTTGATCATGTATTTTAACTTTTTTTAATTGTAGTACCTATAATTTTAAAACATCCATTTTAGTTTTTATACATAAAAAGTGACCATCTGACCATTTGACCATTTTGGTCCATATTTGAAAAGTTTAACATAGATTTATACACGATGGAAGTCTTTTAATACAATTTTATGGATACATTTCAAAAAATTTTGTGACTGAAGTGTCATACTAAAATTTTGATGGAAAAAATAAGATAAAAATGAAATCCCGACACACGATGGAACTTTGCATGGAACCCCTCTCCATCTCTGTCTCTGGTGTGTGATGATCGAAAATATTAAAATGAGAACGAAGATCGAAAATATAGAGACAAAATAATATCAAAACTTAAAAGCTAAGAAAATTGGGAAATGAGGTAATGGAATAGATAAAGATTGAAAAAGTCAATTGGCAACCCGTAATTTTGAGGGCGGATTTGAGTTTGAAATTTAAAAATGGGAAAGCGTTTGGAGTTTGTGTTTGGGTGGAAGAATCTGATTTACAAACAACGCCATTGGCATTGGCCACTCAATTATTGAAAAAGATTGGTACAGTTGGAATTGAAACACAAATGGAGAGCAGCCCAATCCTGAAACCAACATGATTATCCATTTTTCTTAATGGGAGGATTTTCGTGGGAAAAGTACAGAATTTTCTCGGGAAAATTCCAAGGGTGGGGCCCACAGGGTGTGGGCAGAGTCCTTGGATTTTAATGGGAAGTGGAACACTCTTGTTTTTGAACGATCAAGTGCTGGCGGCTTTCTAGGCCTTTTTTCCTTTAATGCCCACGTGTGGCGGTTTCCCCAGCTCCAGTTTTCAATGCCAATTTTGGAGCAAGTTAGAAGAATTCTAAACACACGCTTTTCCCAAAGTATAAATAAATATAGAGTGTTCATATCATATTGCAAAATGTGAGGGATCAAATTAAAAAAACTGAAATAAACTTCGAGGAACAAGCAACATATTTAGAGAAGAAAAAAGCCACATGAGTATCCGAATTGAGAGAAATGGAACTTCATTGAGAATTAATAAAAAGATTATAGCCTTACAAATAAAATACCATATCAAGAATGTACTTTAATTTATATTATTGTTGCTTGTTTAGACGGCAATAGCAGCACTTCACATAAATGTAAAAGAAGAGACTTTCTTTAAAAAAAGTAGGAAAAAGAAGAAGAAGAAGAAAAGACAGCATGGCCCAACTAGTAATGTCCTTGCTCGCAAAATGAATCAAGAAGAAAGCCCAACGACACCAACAAAGATCGGATCTAAGAATATAACTAAATTTTTTCTTCAGTACAACGGGATGAGATTCGCTTTTTGATCGCGATGCATGCCTTAACCAAGTGAGCTAGATCCAGATTGACGAATATTATTAGAGTACTAAAGGTATATTAGTAATTAATTAGGAAAGTTGGGAAAGATTTTGTTGTAAATATAGTGAGTGGGAAAGGCTTGAACAAGAATACTCCAGAGAGGGGATGATTCAATAACTTCCAATGACTTGGGAGTCATTATGGTTGTTCCATCTTTTATATTATTTTAATATACATCTAGTTGTTTAGCATTTAGGTTCATCTAATAAAACCCAACCTTATGATAATAGGGCTGAGTAGGTTTGAGCAATTTATTTTAGGAAACGTAAAAAAACAGCACATAAGCAAATACTTCAAATCGGGTTGAGATTTGAACTCACAACATCTTGGTTGGAAATATGTACCTTAACCAATTGAGCAATGCTCAAGTTCGCCAGAGTTCATTTGTTTTGATACATAAAACTATAGATTATCCTATTTATAAAGAAACCAACGGGGTTGCGTTAGGTTATTTGGTTTTTCTATGTTTTCCGAATGTTTTTGAACACGCCTAAAAAGAGTTGGCAATAAGTTGGAAATGTTTATCAAACTCCAAAGACTCCAACTAAGACTTTTGGAGGACAAAATTCGAGTTCTCAAAGATACAATGGATTCATCCTCTTCATAAGAAAGGAAAATGAAGAGTAGACAAATTAAGGCGGAAAATCGAGCCAAACTAACTCACTCACACACCTAATGATAGCCATCCAATTTAGGAGTCTGAAAAATGTGCAGTCTTTCTGAAAAAATGCTCCTTACGCAGATAAGGATACAAATAACTAACTAATGCCATTGCACATGGCAGGAAACCATGATCTTAAGTCCCGATTCTCGTTTAACTATTTAATGAGAGATTTGCTGCAGCTTCAAGGGGTGGGGGGCAGAGATGTTAGTACTCCCCAATCCAATCTAAGACTTCTACATACAAAATGATAAGAACTAGGTCTTGTCTTGCCTGCTTTTGCCCACTTCGGAATAAGGAAAACAGAACATTGATCATACCAATTGATCAACACATTTCAGTGCATGTATTACACTTTCAGGAGGCATTTGCAATGAAGGTTTGGGAAGACTAGATATGGGATGTCTGAAACTTGGATGCCTATATCTAGATGTGCACAGAAATGAGTTCCAAATGCCTATGTTGCTGAGTAACACCCTTCATTGTAAATTCTTATTGTAGAAAATATACAGTTCAGAAAGATAATGTAATGTGCACTACTGTATATCCCCATAGCTCAATCCGCATAACCAATATTTCCTAAGAAGTTTTGACCCTCCACACCCACAATCAAAAAAGAAATAACTAACTAGAAAGGAAACCAAAATACGAAGGAAGATGTTGGTTGCTGTTCAATAATCAATATGTGTAAATATATACAAATAGTCAACACCTTAATGGTATTTCAATGTGGATTACATGCTACAAAAAGCATAGGGGACAGATCAGAAATAGTATAATTTTCATATCAATTTGACTTCAAACAAGATATTTTCCAATAACTATGTAGATGGCATAAGAAACAAAGCATCAATGAAGAAAGCAAACCTTATTACAGCACGAGCATGGTCAACCCCCTTGTTTGCTTTGAAAAAAAGCTAATGATTGTCGGAATCCTTCTTGGGATGAATTGTTCCCACAAGGGCCTCAATCTCTTCCTTGACTCTTCCAAACACTCCAGGAGCCTTTACCTCATCGGATGGCGTAGTCTCGTCAATATCATCACTTCTTCCATGCGTTTCTTTGTGATGGCGTGGTGATTTATTAGAGTGGACGATAGCCTCTATCTCTTCTTTCGCTCTCTCAAAAAGATTGGGCGCTTTTGCATCTTTTCCTTCTCAAAGAGTTTGTTCACCAAGGGAAAAAAAGCGATAGAATGTCAATCGGCCAAACACTCCCAGAGCAAGCGGCATCGATCAAATTATAACAGACGGAGATAAAAAATTCTCCTAAAAAACAATTGGTGCAACACCTTAAACAACCACAAGCTCGTGATTCACGCATTTTGATTATAATTTGCTATAGAAAAGCATCTCTTCGGAAATTACAGCAGATTATACATGCATCTCACTTAATGCAACAACTTCGAACTAATTACATTTTAGAAGTAGAATCTCGAAGAAACGCACATAACATCAGAGAAATCAATACAAAAGAAAATAGCTACTAAAACGAAGTTGATAAGAATTAAGAACAATAAAGAGATTAAAAGCTCAGCAATACCTGAAGAAGAATCTTTGATCACAGTCTTTGGCTCCTCCATTCGAGCTCTTCTGTGGGATCGATTCTATCCCTTTCCCAGTTCCCCAGGAAACGCTTTTGATATAGTTCGACAATTGCGGCTGTCGGACGACTTGTCGTTTCGTCCAAAGGAAAACTCACAAGGCCCACGACGACTTGTCAAAGCCCAATTTCATGTTAAGAAACTGAGCCCAAAATAATCGGCCCAAATTCGAAGTTTTGGAAAATTAAGTCATTCCGACGTCGTTTTCGTTCCCGATTACTATAATTAAGCGCCGCGGAGCATTTAAATTCATTATTAGATCTCTCTATCCGACCGTTACAAAAACAGCCTTTCGTTTTCCCTTTTCTTTACCCCTTTCGACTTTTCGAATTTCAAAATTCAAACGGCTCTTTCAGTGGAGCCGATCTCTCTCTTCCGTTAATTAGACCCGCCAACGTCTCCTCATCCAATGCCATTAACGAGTTTCCTATAGCTTACAGTTCCAAAGTACTGTAATCTGAAACCAGCTTCTGGAAGGCATTTTCGATTCTCTGGGAAAGTGAAGACAAGATCGAGTTCGTAATCGCGAAACCTAATGGCTTCTTCGAGGAATTGGCTGAAATCTCTCATCAATCTCAAAAAGCCCCATCCTACAGCTTCGGAGCAAGTAAGCCGTTTGGGATTAAGGATCTGTTTTTTCCTCTTTTTCGTTTCTGATGGCTAATGAACTTTCTCTGTTTCAGCAGGAGAAGAGCAAGAAGAAATGGAGGTTGTGGAGAAGCGCTTCTGACGGGTACGGATCTGCTGGTAAAATTTCGAAGAGGGAATTTGTTGAATCAACAGAATCGCACGATTCGAGGCTTTTGGCTAACGCCGTGGCTGCAGTGGCTCGAGCTCCGTTGAAGGATTTTGTGGTAGTGAGGCAACATTGGGCCGCCGTTCGAATCCAGACGGCTTTTCGCGGCTTCTTGGTGAGAAAAACCTTTGCCACCGTTTTTTCTTCTTCCGTTTCTCTTCGATGTTTTCCATCTTCTTCAAACCTGTAAAGGATCTAGACAGAAATCTTCAGCTTCAGAAATTCTCTTTTAAAGAAGCCATTTTTTTCACGCACCAAGTGTTTGATAAAATTCCTTGGGGCTTGTGTCGTGCAGGCAAGGAGAGCCTTGAGGGCACTGAAGGCAGTGGTGAGACTTCAGGCCATATTCCGGGGGCGGCAAGTGAGGAAGCAGGCCGCCGTGACTCTGAGGTGTATGCAGGCGCTGCTCCGAGTTCAGGCCAGAGTGAGAGCAAGATCTGTGACTAATTCTGCAGATCAATTAGCCCAAGAAGAAGCCGATCCCATTAAGCAGGCCGAGGCAAGCTCTCTGAAACAAAACCTCTCTGATTTTGTTTCTGTTGTTACGAACTTGTCAAGGATATCTATAAAAGTTCGGAGGTTTTTTTTTTTTGGTTTTGCAGAAAGGATGGTGTGACAGTATGGGTACTGTGGAGGAAGTGAAGACTAAGCATCAGATGAGAAGAGATGGGGCTGCCAAAAGGGAAAGAGCTCTTGCATATTCCATTTTACAACAGGTAACCAACAGTTTGTGTGATATATATGTGTCCATGTTTTCTTTTGTCAGTGGAGGTTAAATGTGTTGTGCGGCTGCTGATAAACTTATTGCTTATCATTAGTCTTCGCTCATCTTTTGCTGATCACCGTTTATGATTGCAGAAAAAGAGATTTTTGTTTTCAAAAATAAAAATGATGTCAAACCTCGGTTATGATCGATATTGATTGATAAGTAATTAATAATATTATTTGAAAGTAGAATCTCTCATTGCTGCTACAAATTGTTAAGAAGTTTGACAATAAGGTGATTATAAATTTTGAACTTTTTACTTTCCTTTGAAATCATAGGGATTCAGTTGAACTAAAACAACATAGAAATATTAAAGCGCAACGAAAAAAACACCCCAACAAGTAGAGTGTTTTGTGTTTAGCCTTGGAAAGTTCAAATCTATTGGAAAATTGAGTGCTGGTTTTAATGTTTTTGAGTTGTGATGGGGGGGGATGATTGAAAAGTTTTCCAATTTCAGAGATCAAAATCATGTGCCAGCCCAAACAGAGGCACCACAAGCAAGCAAATGATGACCCAACACAAGAAATTGGACAAGAATTACAGGCACCACGACTGGAGCTGGCTAGACCGGTGGATGGCCGCCAAATCATGGGAAACCAGTTCATTAGACACTGTCCCAGCCGAGACGACGCCGTTTTACCGCAAAAGTGAAGATGTCATCCACTTTCCGGACAGTGTCAGAGTTAGAAGGAACAATGTCACAACAAGAATCTCAGCTCAACAACCCTCCTCTTCATCCAATCATATTTCTCCCTCTCCATCTTCCTCGGAGTCTGTCTGCGACGAGTACTCTGCCTCCACGTCATCGTGCTCATCAGCAGCGGTGGCGGCCGATGAGGAAGAGGCCGGAAGCAAGCCGAGCTATATGCATCTCACGGCGTCGATCAAAGCGAAGCAGAGAATTTGTGGCGGGAGGAATTTACCGATCACCTGCGGGAAGACGGCGACGGGTGAGATGATGAGCAACAGTACGTGCTCGGAGAATTCGGGGAGATTATGCCGGGATTTGTACCAAGAAGTGCCGTTGGGGCGGCGAGATTGGGCGAGATGCTGAAGAACAGCCGCCGTGTGCGGCGGAGTGTTTGAGATTTGGATTTTTTAGTTCAACGGCTTGTTGTTCTTTTTGTGTGTGGTGTGGCGTGTTTAATTAAGGTATATTTTGACAGGGAGATGGTATACTGATAGCAAACAGGATATGAATTTGAGTTTATGTTTCTAAACTTAGGTATAAAATGTATTAAATGGTGATCTAATTTTATTTTGGAAAAAAAAATGGTGTCTTTTATGTAACATGTTCTTACTTTATGGTTGGATGTGTCCATAATATATACCAAGCGCACGCATGTAAAGTAACTCAATTAATCAAGATAATAATTATAGGGTTTCTTTCAATATTCGACGAAATCAAAATCTCTTGTATTGTTGAACTCAAAATGTTATATTTTTAGTCAAAATGTTATATTTTTAGTCTTTGAAGTGTATTTATTTAATAAAAAATATAGCATCACAAAATATAAAGCTAGAAAGTTTTGGACCTAATAAGTATCAAGTTATATTCATTTTGGCTCCAATTACAACTCTATTTAATTTATATGATTCAAAAATTGACAATTGCTGAGGTTTTAAAAAATAATTACAAATGGTGGATAAATAAATTCATCTAGTTGTTTAAAAAAAAAGTTCTATCAAGAATGGTTTAAGATTTCAATCTCTCTATCTCGTGGAAAATTACTTTATGCCCGAACTAGGTGAAATGTGCTTAATTAGCAATATATTATAGGGTTAAAGTGTTAAACTATTATTATTTCTTCCAACACAATTTTTTTTTTTTTTTTTTACATCAGCTACACAAACATTTCGTGGCAGTTAAATACATACGTGCCAAATTTTTAAATTTTTAAATTTGAAATAGAAGGACCAAAAAATAATATCCTAAATTTTAGGAACTAAATTCTAACCAATTATAAATTTTTTTTTTTTTTGGTACTAACCAATTATAAACATCCTTGTTATAATATTGGGCTCAAATTCAATCACACAAGCCCATCACAAGACTTCCGTAATGGGCCGGAAGCCCACGTTGCTGACTCGAGAACTATACGACACCGTTTATTTAGAAAGAAAATAACGAATTTCAGATTCGGAGAATCCGAACTGAAAAAGATAGCTTTGGTTGGTTTCAGCGGGAGGATTTCTTAAGCCCTCTCTCTGTTAGGGTTTTAGTCTGGTTGAGAAAAAAGGTTGGCTATTTATTTCGCAGCTCGATCATAGTTTTCATAAATTAGCGAAGAATTTTTCTCGGTTTCGGATGGCGGAAGAGACGCATTCTAATGCTGACTTCAATGCTTACAATGGCGACGGATTTCTTGAACAGTACGAGCAGCCGCAACCGTTCGATCTGGGGCGTGAATTTGAACGGCACTCCAATGTAGATAGCACAGGATGTGAGATAAAGCATGTGACCAGTCATTACGATTCATCTTCCAGCGGGTTAGTTCAAGATTTTGATTCTTTCATTTTCTTTATACCGTTTTTCGTAGAGGAGCGGGGCGGTTACCATTTGTGTAAATATATGCATTCTTTTAGGGGAAATGGTTTTGGAATCGGTCTTAGTTGGAGCATAACATTTGTTTTTTTTCTTATGTGGTAGCAAACTTTTCGTTGGAGGCGTTTCTTGGGAGACCACTGAAGGTAGATATAAACTTAGTAAGCTATTGATTGCTGCGTTATGGGGGTACCCTATGATAAGGGGTTATTTTTGTCCGTTTAATGTGTTTGATCGTCGTCATATTATGGCACATTGATTCTTTGATACATTGTTATTTTTATTTGATAAGATGGGGACTTTAATTGAACCAGAACTACCAAAAGAATCCTTCAATCTGGGTTATAGTCCCCTTTAACATATATTTAGGCACCTTCATAAGCGTCAACTCAACTCATATCTTTCTAGTAGATTGCTCTTTGAGAGCGCACGTTCCTCGTAATTTAGGTATTTTCTGAATATAATTGGATCATGGAGCCTCTGAGAATTGGAAATGATCCTAACATTGTTCCTATACTAGTTTTTCTTTATGTATTTCAGTGTCTGGTTTTCAGTTACCAGTATAGAGTTCTCTTCCTTTCTTTATTTTCTTAGTGTGCATATCGATTTTAAATTTGGGGCAGGAAATTGAACCATTAGGAGAGGGTATAGGTGTCTTAACCACTGAGCTATGCCTAGGTTGACTATGCATTTTGATTACTTTGTTACAGGCATCATGCCAATTTTTGATTCCTAAATTATTGGATTTGTGCTCATTTGTGTAATGATGTAAATTTGGCCTTTTTCTCCTGGCAAAAGATTAGTTAGGTTAAAGAGCGATTTCACGAGTTCAATGGCCCCATCTCCCTGGCTTCGTGATGAAAAGAAAATTTTGATCTTTCTTTTTGTCATATTGTTATTGTGCTAATATGTTATTGTTTCCATGTTGTTAAGATTGTCACCATCCTGCCATACATGTCTTGACAAATTTATTTATTATTATTTGGTATTCAGAGACCTTTAGTGAATACTTTGGCAAGTATGGGGACATAGCAGATTCAGTCATAATGATGGACAAACACACTGGAAGGCCACGCGGGTTTGGCTTTGTAACATTCTCTGATCCTGCTATTGCTGACATGGTTCTGAGGAAGGAGCACGTTATAGATGGCAGAGCGGTAACAAAATAAAATATTAGTTATATTTTTGTAATTCTAAACTTGTAATCTGGATGGATTATGGAATATTTTTATATCACTATTAGGTGGAAGTGAAGAGGACAGTTCCTAGGGCTGATATGAATGATAAATTGGTATCAAGAACAAAGAAAATATTTGTTGGTGGAATACCACCTTGTTTGACTGAAGGTATGGTAGAACTTGACACATTTCTATCCATTGATTTCTTTTATTTCAGAACTAAAATTTAATGAAAGATTCTCTGTTTGGATGTTTCATAAACATTGCAGATGGGTTTAAGGATTACTTCTCTTCTTTTGGATGTATTATTGAACACCAAATCATGATAGATTATCAAACCAGGCGGTCTAGAGGATTTGGATTTATCACATTTGAGAACGAAGATGCCGTTGAAAATATTTTTGCAGGAGGTAGAATACATGAGCTTGGAGGCAAGCAGGTATGTGACAAATCTGAGTAACGCATTGAATCTATTCTGGTTTTGCTTGTATGAAAAATCTTTTAGAAGTCGTTTACAGAAATGCTGCACTCCAACATGAAAATATGCAGGTGGAAATCAAGAAGGCTGTACCAAAGAGAGGTACTAATGATTTCAGTAGTAATACTGCAAAGAATTCTGCAGGATTTGACAGGTATAGATCTGGAGGTGTATATGATGGTAAAATGGACAGAGCTCTTGGTGGGTATGATGTATATACTACTCCCTATGGCGGGTTCGGTGGAAACTATGCCAGTTTCTACGGTGGATACGGTTTCGGTTATGGTGGAGCCATGTATACGAATGCTAGATATGGAATGAACGGTTACGGCATCCCGAATGGCTATGGTTGTACAGTTGGATACGGAGCCAATGGATTTGGCAAAGGATATCAAGGAAATGGTGGTTCAATGCCTGAAAGATATCATCCATATTGGTATTGAACAAACTTTTCCAGGACGTTCTTTAAACGCGGGCACAAGTTTCATCTTAGTAGCAGTGCAGTTTTAGCTTGTTGCATGTAATATAGTTGTCGACAATCTTTTATTTCTCTCTTTTTTTCTTTTTTTTTTTGGACAAGAAACAATTTGATTGATTAAATGAAATGATGAACATATCTCTTCAAAAATATCGAAAGCTCAAATCCCCCTTCTTATTTTGTGATTTGATATTGCCAAATGAACACAATCAATGAGTGTGTAGACCTGGCTTCAAATAAGAATCACCCTCCTTTTTCATTTTTGTTTGAGAACATAGTATTACAAAGGTGAGAACGAGAATTTGAACCATTGGCTTTTAGATTATTGATGTCTTCAACTATTAAACTATGAGTTAGTAATGATGCCCGTTTCAGTTTCATTATTTTAATGTGTTATTATCTTTATAAGAAAACAAAAAGGAAACTTGAGCACATGAAATCAATGAAAAAAGGATTAAAAAAGGCAAGAGTAATCACATGGATTACATAACCTATGCACGTGAATTTGAATGATGAAAAGCAAACAAATTCTGCAAATCACAGCAAAGACAAAATTAGAATAGATTCTCTTTTGTTTATTTGCCAGATGGCTTATTCAAATACACAATAAAAATGAGGGAAAAAAAGGGTTAAAAATCTCATCCCCTCATTTCCTTCCCATTTTTTGGCCGTTGGTTCAATTAATATGAGCTTTGTTCAAACTCCAAGCAGTGAGTTTCGAGATGGTGACACCCTCTGTCGCATTGTTAAAAGCATAGAGACCAACGTTTTCTCCAATGGCTAATGTTGGGTAAACTCTGGCTGTGATGCAAGCCTTCCCTTTAACTCCAAAACTCTCAACAATGGAGTGATCAATCTGTGAAAATTTCAAATTTTTTACCAACAAAAGCTTGCCATATCAGTAAATGGTGACCAAGTGAGGTTGATTTTGTTTCTTTGTTTTTTTCTTTTTCCGAATTTCATTTTGGTATTTGTTATTAAATTCCATGTGTTCAGCCTAAGACATTTATTATATGATTAAAAGTAAAGTGGAATGTTAAAAAAATGCAAATGTATGCATGCGTGGAGAAAAATCTCACCAAGCTTCTTAGTGAAAGATTTTCACGAACTGGGTCCATGTCCACAAATGCTCCATATGTTGTCTTATCATTATTTGAATTTAGAGAAGACCTGATCACAGAGTTCAAGTACGATCATCGTTTAAGTTAACTGATAATAAACTTAGATGACATTACACTTTAATGAGAACTAAAACATATATTTAGCCACAAAGAGTGGAGAGTACCTGCTTTGGTCGCTACACATAAGCACAACATACTTGCCCTCGCGTTTGAATACTTTAAAGAACACAGAAGTGTACTCTTTCAAGTCCTTTGAAGCCAAAAGCAGAAGTCCAAATGGCCCTACTCCACTCTCTTTTGCTGCTCCCTTTTGGGCACAAAGCAATTGAGGATCTTTCCATTCAGGTTTTAGCACTTGGGCTTTCTTAAAGTTTTTTACTTTAAAAGAAACCTCAACATCTACCTGTACAAACCAAACCCAAAACAGCTTAATGGTCATCTTTTTAATGGAAAATATAATATAAATAAAATAGAGACTAATTTTGATCACCTGTGCTGCTGTTACACCCTTCACTTCAATCACGGACCCTTTCTTCAACACTTTATTTATCAACTTAACTTTGTCCTTTCTCAGCTTTTGGATTTCCACTATTGGCCATTGAACTAGTTGCTTTCCCGATGCATCAAGCCAAATACTCCTTGGAATTGCCTGTAAATTGGATGTCAAATTCCTCTCATCAAACCCACACGCTTGTTGGGTCTACTAAGAAACTTTGATGTCGGCAGACCAAGACTTTTCTTTTTATATATTCTTTTAAAGCTGAAAATGTGGAGTTGAAATCATTGACTTCTTACCTGGACGCCAGACCATCCCTTCTTCTTATCATCATCAACACTTGAAGATTCATTCACCCAACCCCACAAAACTCTCCTTTTCTTCTCGCTGTCAAAGAAAGTTTTTGATGCATAACATTTCCCATAATCGTATCTCAATCCAGCGTAACCTTCTACCGATCCTTTATCTGGGACATACACATCCTTTTTCACGTTATATGTCCCTACGGTGTAATGGTCGTGCTTCGTGTCGTCCAAGCTCACCTTCAGCACGTGCTTCACTCGTGGTCCATTTACCGACGTGTCAACTCCGACCCTACTGTTCTTTGCCACCGGGAAGAAATCCGGACACTCCCACATTCCAGTGTCATCGGCATAATGAAGCGGGTTGTTCACCTGTGTCAAGAATACAATTAAAAGATTAAAAATGCTGTAACTTATCATAAAAAATCTAGCATTTATTCAAATATAAGGACGTAGGTTTAATGGAAGTTTAATGTGACCTGATCCCATTGGATGAAGTCCTTGCTCCGGTACATAATGGCGAGTCCACGGGCGTTGATTTTGCTTCCGATGACGACTCGCCATTGACGGTCCCGACCGAGCCAGGCCGTGGTGGGGTCCCGGAAGGAGCTAGAGTTGATGTTGTTCTGTGGGGTGGGGGCCATAAGAGGGTTTTTTGGGGATTTCACCCATTCTATGAGAAATGGGTCGGAGAGATTTTTGGGGACGGCCAAGTTTTGAACTTGGTGGTTCTGTGGGTTGATTCCCGTGTACAGCATCGCCGGTTTGTTTCCCGGCAAGATGGTGGCGGAGCCCGACCAGCAGCCGTTGATATCCGACGGCTGGGATGGGAAGATGGCGTGCTGGTGGGGCACCCAGTTGATCAGGTCCGTTGATGTGGAGTGGGCCCACACTATGTTCCCCCACACTGCTCCTTTTGGGTTGTATTGGTAAAACAGATGGTAAATTCCTTTGTATATCATTGGACCTGAAAATTCCAGAAATCACTTCAAAATTTTAGCTTCCAATTTCTCAAAATGCTTCAAAAAGTTGATTTCTAAGAGAACTAACCATTTGGATCTGCGTTTTTTTCCCAATCCAATCCATTGCCAAATCACATGTCAAGGAAAAAAGTTGCAAACTTTTAGAAGAAGAAGAAAACCCAAAAGCAGAAGAAGGAAATTGAAGATGAAAGAAAGTGAATCAGAACCATTCATCCAATTCTTGGGAGGCTGAAAATGGTAGGAAGTTCTGTAAGGTTGTTGATGATCTGGAGGAACAGAGGCAGAGGTTTGAGCTCTGTAAACATGGTGGGAAGCTTCAAGCTTGAAAACGCCATGGCAGAGGAAAACAGAGAGGAAGGAGAAGAACCAGAGAGAAAAGGAAGCCATTGGAGAGGCAACTTCTGGAGATGAACTGGGTTTGGCCCAACTACCAATTTATACTTCAAAAAGTTTGGTTCTGACTTCTGATTGGCTATTTTTAGAGGAAAAAGAAAATAAGAAATAGAAACGGTGGGTCGGATTTGATAAGTCAAATTGAAAAAATAAATGTGAAGTCAAATTTGAAGACATTTCATTTTAAGAGATTTGTTAGATTGTACAGGTGGAGTATTACAAATCCACGCATTGTTTTGATTTTTCTGGTCTTAACCAAATTGCTGTCCAATATGAAGATGGAGACAGCTTGAACAAATGATGTGTTTTGACAAAACTAGGATGTGTGTGTTGTACACCCGCATTCTTTATGTTTTTTTTTAATAGTCGAAATGAGGATTTGAACTCGCAATTTTTATGGCCGAAAATAAGTACCTCAGTTAGTACTATATTCAAGTTGGCTCAATGATTCTATGCTTAGATGTGTCTTTGTTATCGAAAAACATTTATAGTTGATTTGTAGATATAAGAGAAAATATGACTTCTCTTAATAAATTTGGCTTAATCTTATCATTTTGTTTTCATTTAAGGGGTTAAAAATGATAAAAGATGGAGAGATGAAGTAAGTCAAATTTCTAATTAATTTTGATTTATGGGGGAGTTATCATTCATAACAACATGTAGGTAGGTGAAAGTTGAAATCTAATTTTACACCATTCTTGACTACTAACATTCTACGAAAGATGTGCTCAAAAAAAAAAAACATTCTACGAAAGAATTCAATTGAATTATCTGAAAATTCTAGGTCTAATATATCTTTATGTCTTGATTTAGAAGATGATAAAGACATGAATCTGAACCAACTACTTATAGAGAAAGTTACATTAGTTAAGTCGATGGGCTCGATTCAAGAATAGGAAAAGCAAAGTTGTTCGAACTCACGACCTTTTGTCAAAGATACATGTCTTAAAACTTTGTGTCAGATTCAAATTGGTCGAAAAAAGTTAATATATTCAAGTAATATTGATTAATTTAATACATAAGATGAATTAATAATATTCTAACCATAACTTTATCGTGAAACAAAATAACTCCTAATTCTTATTATATTAGTCGATGTTTGTGATGAGATTTCATTTAATTAGGTATTTAAAATCTTCAAATTGTAATAAAGAATGAGAGGGTGTTGTTAGACATTTTTTCCCCTCTTTTTAAAGTCGATAAATTTTAAATCTTTAATTCATGAAAAAGTCCAAGAAGATGATTTTCAATTTCAACTATATATTCATTCTATGAGTAAGAATGAATGAGTCCTAAGCGAACATTATTTGATAGGAATTTCTTTGCTTTCGAGATTTCTAAATTATAATATTTATATGATCTTAAAGTTTCATAAATCTTTTTTTGATCTCGTTGGTGAAATATTTAGAGAGCTATAATTGATGTTTGTAGTTGGCTAGCTATCAAGGTTATTTTACCACCACTAAAAAAGTGTTCATTTGTGACTTGAATTCTAATCATTTCTCATCTTGGATCAAGTAAACTTTCAATTTGATAATAATATCTTCGTCTATTAAATAGACAACTATAATATTAATTGGGAAAGAAGTCTCCTACTAAAAAAATTGAGAAATAAGGCAGTTAATATTAATATTCTAATTATCGTCATTAAGCTTAAGTGAGTTTGGATTAATTATTTATTACTACTAACATGATCTTAGCTTAGTAATTTGCACATATATTTGACTAATGAGTAATGAGTTTAAATCCTCTACCCCACCTGTTGTACCAAAGGAAAAAAAAATATTTATTACTAATTCATTTAAAAAAAAAATCAACAATTATCACATGAGGGCTTGGGCTTGAGCTTGGGCTTGGTTAAGAGTTTTGCCCACTGGAGTTCCAAGTTTTGGCCGTTATAAATAGTATGATTGTAGTGCAGTGAACTGTAAAAGGCCCACGGTGGAAATGATGTGTAACGTGGGCCAAAGCCCAATAACACCAAGGTCCAAATTACAGAGCCCAAAAGGTTCATACTACTAATTGGAATACGGTAAACATATAGTGGACAACACTAATTGGGTTGCCAAAAACTACTCTAAATTCATAATCAAGGTTTTTTTTTTTCTTTTTCTTTTTCTTGTTTAGGAATATTAATAAGTATGAATCATTTTTTTTATGAGGATGTAGTGAAGACATGAGATATAACGTCTTAAACTTTGAATCATTTCTCATAGATTCAAAATAAGAGGTTGTTCTGGTTCCTACTCGTTGTTGTCACTCCTATTAAAAGAAAAAGGTTTCTCAAAGGTCCAAAATTTTATTAGAAAACCTTGGGATGATTGCCCTCTTTGAAGATTAGGATTTGTAGTAAGATCAGTTTTATCACTACCTTTGTAATTTTTGTTTGAAAATAAATTTATTTAGGTTAAAAAGCACATTTGGTCCATGTACTTTCACTTAAGTAACAATTTAGTCTCTGAACTTCAGTTGGTAACGTTTTAGTCCCTACACTTTACCTAAAAAAACAATTTAGTCACTGAACTTTAACTTGTAACGATCTAGTCCGTGTAGTTTAAAATTTGTAACAATTTACTCCCTATCGTAAAATTTTTTATTAAAATTAAGTGTTAAATTTTATTATATAGCAATTTAATCTTTTTAATTCATAAACATATTTGGTCCATCTTTAGTTTATCAATCTATACATACAAGAAACTTAACAAAAAAAAAATTTCACAATAAGGACTAAATCGTTACCAACTTTAAATTACAATGACTAAATTATTACTTATTAAAGTTTATGGACTAAACTGTTATCAATTTGAAAGTATGAAGACTTAATCATTATAAACTAAAATTAAGGGACTAAATTGTTAGTTTAGTAAAAAACAAAAGTAGAGGGACTAAAAGTGTTATTTAACCGTTTATTCAGCGGGAAAAAGAAAACTCTTAGCTAAATAAGACCCAGACATCTCTCTATTATTTGAAGGACACGAAATAGCGATAATAATAAATCATGATGGGATACTGATTTGACAACACTTGAATTTCTTACATTTATTTTTTTTTGTCTATTAAACTATTTTTTTTTTTGAAAACCAAATTATAAATATGTTGTTTTAATTTGATTATTACGTTAATTTAGTAATTGAATTTCAAAAAGTTTCAATTACATTTCTAGACTTGTATTATATTTAAGTTTCTATCTTTTAACAATATAAAACTGTATTAGATAAGATTTAGACAAAACGAAGGATCTAACATCCCATGGGGAGGAATTTGAAATTTTGATAAAGAAGGAAAAACTAATAATTACATTGCATCAAGAATCTATCCAATTTAATCCATCCCGTTCCAAATCTAATCTAATTCTAATCATACAATCTCATCATTTAAATCCATTGAATTCAATTATAAATTTGACATGGTAGAATATCATGCAAACCTTTTTGATGAAGTTAAGAAAATTTTAATATTTTAAGTTGAACTCAAGAAAGGTGTGAATTGAAAGATGGAAAGCGAAATAATGACACCAACACATAAAATTTTGGCTGTTTTTCAATTTACCACTTACGGGCGAACCCAAAAAAAAACAAAAATTTAGTAAAAATTCTAAATAGATGTATAAGTGTGTGACGACAACCCTAGTTAAGAAGCGGAACAAAAACATCCGATAAGACGAATATGAAATTTTGATAAATTAGAAGGACAACCAAATAATTGCATTGTAGCTATAATTTCAACTCAATCCAATTCATCCACATCCACCTGTGGTAAATCTAATTCAACCCTAGTTTTGTTGCCTAAAACAGAATTAACAAATAATATATATATATATATATATATATATATATATATATATATTTAATCCAACCTTAGTTATACCATCGCATTCATTTGAATGATAGAGAAGCAGAACAAATTCCGCAATCACTCCGAAGACAGAACTAAAATTTTATTTATTTGATAGTTGGCTTATTCAAATATACAACAAAAATGAGGAAAAAGAGGGGTTAAAAATGTCCTCTTCCTCATTTCCTTCCCACTATTTGGCTGTCAGTTCAACTAATATGAGCTTTGTTCAAACTCCAAGCAGTGAGTTTAGAGATTGTGACACTCTCTGTTCCGTTGTTAAAAGCATAAAGACCAACGTTATTCCTTGCTATCAACCATACATAATTTTTCATGGGAAATGAAATATCTCTTTTCATTTCACCAAAAATATGTTCATTTAAAAGTTTCAAATCCATCATGAATTAAATTTGTTAAAGTACCTATCTTTGATCAAGAAATCGAAAGTTCGAATCTTCACCATTGTTCTAAAAAAAAGTATCAATTCCATCTCTATTATTTAATGTCATGTGAATTTTGACTACATATTTAATTGAAAAATAACTAAATCTTAATTATGAGATATCAAAACATTAGGAAATTGAAAAATAACATAATTATATATTTAGTTTATGTCTAATATGTGATTGATGTGTAGTGAACTGTAAAATGCCCATGGTGGGAATGATGTGCTACGTGGGCCAAAGCCCAATAACACCAAGGTCCAAATTAGGGAGACCAAAAGGTTTGTACTACAAATTGGAATACGGTAACCATAAAGTGGACAGTGCTAAATGGGTTGCCAAACATTACTCTAAATTCATAATCATGTTTTTTTTTTCTTTATTAGGAATATTAATAACTATGAATCGTTTCTTCTTTTTACTATGAGGATGTAGTGAAGACATTATACATAATTTCGATTCAAAATGAAGAATTTGTTTTCGTTCCTACTCGTTGTCACTCTTATTAAAAACCATTATATTAAAAAAGTTTCGTAAAGAGTTGAATATATATTACAACTCTATTGATATTTTAGTAATTTCCATAAACTGAATTTTTCTTTTCAATTAGGAATATTAATTAATAACCATGAATCACTTTTTTAATTACGAGATAATGAGATCGAGGAACGCGCGATAGATTACAAATGGATGGAAGAGTGGAGTTTTATCACTCCTAGTTGGCTGGACTTCTTAATTTATTCTGATATGAGTT